AAATCCGCAATTTGGACTCTCAGTAAGAAGGTCATCCGATCACCGAAACGACAACCGACAAGCAACATATCAACCAAATACCCCATTGGCAGAACTCCCTTTGGATCCCGAAGACTGGCAGTGTGCACACCCATGAAAATGCAGATATAAGGGGAATACAAATTTGTTGTACTTGGCGGTGAAGGCAACGTAACGACTGCTGCGACCAAAAGTCAACATTAAAGAAAATGTGAAAGGACCGATGGAGGTCCCAATTAAATGTGGTCCGTCTATTTGGATGGTTCACTGCCACAAGGTGTAGGCCAGCAAAGATGAAACTGCAGTGGCAGATAGAACATTGTTGCCTACCCACCAACGACTGGCTGATAGATCGAACCTAACTAGAGCAGAAGGGGTGGGCGCTACCATGGTGTAAATTGTGCCACACTGTCTTCCCCTCCCGCAGAATCCTGAAAACCATAGAACACGTATTCATGCAGTCTTCGGGGGCAGTTCTTACATGGCGTTGGTGGGATAGGATCTGGTCCCACTTGGGCACTGGGTCAAAGTGGCCTTGGGATTGGAGGGCCATACTATGCGAGACATGGACCTCCCCCACGGACAACACTTTTGAAAATAACATGTTTAAAATAGGGAGGAGAGCAGTCATATGGACCCTCTGGATAAAACATTGTATACATGCCATAGAGGGGGTCCGCATAGCGGAGGGAGAGGCGACATATATGATCAAACAATATGCTCAACAAGAACTAACAGTACAGTGGCAAAAAGTTAAAAACCATTTGGATCTGTTTCATTCATCCAAAGATATAACACAAGCAATTCAGCAATTCTCAGGGGACTGGTTGGGCAGTGAGAATGGGGGCTGGATTGCCTCCGTCAGCTGGGACGGCAGGCCTGCCCAGGAATGCCACCAGGAAGAGTTCGGAAAAGATTACCGTATTTGCTTCAAAGACTGGACATTGGTGGGCCAGGAGATCCCGCTGCGACCATCCGCAAAATTTCCCAATTCCCACCCCACCAGTTGGAAAAGGTAGACATGCAATGGTGTGAAGTAGATTGAGGAGCAAGGACGGGGCATACAGAAGAGGCCCAAAGCGTACTCCATTTCATCATACCTAGTACTACCCCTGTGCAGGCAATCCCCGAGAAACAGGGCAATCAATGCTGGCAGGCCTAATGATGTATCGTGGGAATTGGATGCCGGATATGTAATTACAGAATTCTCTTCTCTGTTAAAAGAGACGCTGGACCCGGTTTCCAGCAGGTGACTTTCCCCACCAATAGATGAAGCCTCTCCGACAGTATTAGAAGTATCTGCTCCTATCAGCACCCCTAGTACTTGTCTGAGCTGTTATATATTGTCACAAAGTTATCAGAGCGCAAAAGCGAAAAGAAAACAGAAAGAAAACAAAGAAAAATAAATTCATTTTTGTAATCTTCTTCCGTACAACTCCCCCTGTTCAGAACTTCTTGCGTACAAGGCCGCCCACGTGGATGTAGGTTGAGCGGTGGCTGCCCCCACCCCCGTGTGCCATATCGACCCACTTGCACACAGCCAAAGGGCAAAGAGGCAAAGAAAGGAGGAAGGGAACAGCCAAATGCAACAAATCAGGGGGCAACAAGCAACAGCACCAAAAACTGATCCTGGATAACAAGTCCCACATGAAAGCACCACCCCTCCTTCACAGGCCAAACGACGGGACAAGACCACCCAGGACAAAACTCTTGTCTGCAAAAAAAACTATATACAGCAGATGGCATTGTTCGCCATCATGACGTCGGTATTCCCATTACTAAACCGTTCGTGCTCTCATAGGCCGAACAACAAAAAAAAACGGATGATTGGTCCCACATGAAAGCACCGCTACGCTCGCCAAAATAGACCGAACAACGGGACAAAACCAACCGGGATGCAGACAAGGGTGCCAAAAAACAAACATAACAGATCCTAGATGACAAGTCCCACATACAAGCACCGCCCCTACTTCACAGGCCAAATGACGAGACAATGACCAACCAGGATAGCAATCAACACCCTTGCCTGCAAAAAAAACTATATAAAGACAATCCCAGATGACGATTCCCACCTAAAAGCACCGCCCCCTTCGATAGGCCAAACAACGGGAACCAGCCAACTAGGATGCCAAAAAGAAAAACCCGGATGACAAGACCCACATGAAACCGCCGCCACGTGAAACCACCGCCACGTGGACTGAACAATGAGACAAAACCAACCCGGGATGCAGACAAAGAGTACCAAAAATACCATCTACCATAACCAACACTTGAAAAAACGGAACCATACAGTAGGTCCGTAAAATGAAATACCTCGACAATGGGGAAGCGCAAAGCAAAAGAAAAGGGATAGAATTTCATAGAAAGGAGAATTAGAAAAAAGTATATTCTACGGTTCGACCATAGCTAAAGAAAGAGCCTTCTAGTACAGGCCCGACGCTCGCCGCATCATCTACAAAAGCAGAGAGCTAGCAACGTCGTATATATTGTCACAAAGTTATCAGAGCGCAAAAGCGAAAAGAAAACAGAAAGAAAACAAAGAAAAATAAATTCATTTTTTTATCTTCTTCCTTTTTATATATATTCTTTGAACAAAACTGAAACCTGCTTATTTGGCACTAAGAATGTCACCGTCTGAAAATGCCGGACCCCTCCGGACTTCAGCGAAGTCCATTTTGTTCAAAAAATATAAAATATCCGTTTCAACTTTTAAAGAAAATGGCTGTTCTACCATTCATGAAACCACCGAAGTCATGGGGGTGCCTGCCCAACCTAGACTGGGCACGAACAACCATCTCCCTCCTTGACTGCACGTCACAAGGAGGTGACTAGGCGCTCTCCCTGTCTATCTTAATCTGAACCCCTTCATCCTCTCTCTCTCTCTCTCTCTCTCTCTGTGCAAGCGTCTCCGCCTCCATCTCCCTCCCTCCATACCTCTCTCTCTATGCAAAACAACGCCGCCTTCTCTCTATCTTCCACATCGAGAGCGCGTAATCCACAGCGGATGGGTGTGCAACAGTTCGTGCAGTTGGAGATCATTTATAGCCACGGTATGGGATGATCCTCCCATTGCAAATAACAGCCTTGCCGGTCTGCACCGCGCAGAGGGGGGAGAGCAGGGGGAGTGCAGGGGGTAGGACGTGGGGGGTTTGGTGGGGGAGGGGTTTCATAAAAGGGAAGACGCTGGTACACAGAAAGCGCAATAGGGAGGCCAGAATGGGGGTGAGGGGTGGACTGTGGAGCTACCTGCTGGTTGTCAGACCTATACACGGAAACGTCGGAAAGTAACTGTGGGGAGCGGATGAGAAGAGGAAATGAACAGGGCTTCATGTTATCATGGTCGAAAAAATGAGGCGCCTTTCACATGGCACTAATCTACATCATCGATTGTTTTCTTGCAGGATTCTATGATCCTGTTTCACATCCACGTGAAGCACTGCAAAAACATAGGAAAATGGCCACCATTAAAAAAAAGGGCGGGAAAAAAAAAACAGACACCACCGATAGAAGACAAGTGAATGTATTTGACCGCCAGGACCACCACTTAAATATACATGGGAGACCATCCTCACCACCTCGACGGAACACAGATGATGCAATAATGAAAAGCAAAGAGCAAAAGCCTCACACACAATTCACAGCACACGGAACACTTCAAAACCCCGTGCTGATGGGCTAGAGGGGGTGATATGAGCATCCTCCTCTACCAGCACCTGTCTCAGGTAGCTCTGGAATATTAATGGGGAGCAGCACCTGCTGGAAACCGGGTGCAGCGTCACTTAGACATCCATTGCGAACCCATTCGACACTGTCACCGTGGCCATTACCCGGCGACTTATCTGTCTAACTTCCATGTAAAATGGCGAAATGAACTTTTTTTTTTTTTTTTTTTTTTCTTCCGAAAACGCCCCCACCAGTGTTAGTGGTGCTTACCCTTCGTAAACCACCAGAACTTCCGAAAGTCATGGCGGCATGCGTGCTGCAAAGTGCTGGGATAAGCAGGCCTGAGGGGCTGGCATAAATGCATTCCAGTGGAAAAGTCTCAGCACGGTCGCAATGGCTGGCCCCATGCTCGCTGTGACTTCCGGAAGCACTGGAGGTTTAATGAGCGAAATCGGTTATGATTCAATGGCTGGGATGACATTCGAATCGACGGCGGCCCGTCGGCGGGGGATTGGGTGATTTGCAGTTTCTTCCTTCCAGCCTTCGCCTGGCCATGCAAACGCGGATATCACTGAAGTCGGAGTGATGTCATGGTGCATGTATGTGTGCGTGGTGTGTGTGTGGTTTGTGTGTGCGTGTGTGTTGTTTTAAAATCCCCCAGCGTGTGTGTTGTTTTAAAATCCCCCAGATTCTCTCTCATCCCTTCACAAATCATCACAAGCCATCCATAACGAAAAAGTATAGATAGGCAATATAATAGAAAATGTGTGTGTGTGTGTGTGTG